ACTCTACATCTTTTTATTATAATTGTAACTAAAGGTTTTTGACTTTTATGTATAGTCACGTTTATATTCTTAATTTTTCCATCATATCTTTATCTTTAACATTTCATTCTAACTAACAAATATTATCATTAATCACAGTTTTTATCCAAAAATATTGTTAATGTGTGTTAAAATAGGGGGCAAATATCTTAATTTTATATTTTTTGACTTATTTAAAATACGAGGGACAAATAAATCTTTTGGACATAAACTAACATAAGTATGATAATAATTATGATTATGGACCTTTTATGCAATTAAAATGTGATCCATTTTCTTAGTCTACATTCATTTTGTGTTAATAGTATTAATTTAGTTTATTTACATTCGAATTATATAATATAGGAAAATTTGTATTCTCGTCGTCAACTTTTAAACTGTTAATAATTTACCCCAACCTTTTCTTTAGCATAGATATCCCCAACCTTTGACTTGATTGCAAATCACGTCCTTCCAATAATTTTAGTTGTTGAATTAGCCTAAAATGATGAATACGCCCTCATCTTTAAATAATAAAATAAAGAAATGAAATAAATAGTTTATTTACATTCGAATTATATAATATAGGAAAATTTGTATTCTCGTCGTCAACTTTTAAACTGTTAATAATTTACCCCAACCTTTTCTTTAGCATAGATATCCCCAACCTTTGACTTGATTGCAAATCACGTCCTTCCAATAATTTTAGTTGTTGAATTAGCCTAAAATGATGAATACGCCCTCATCTTTAAATAATAAAATAAAGAAATGAAATAAAAAATAAAGGAAAATTTGCAATAAGAGTTTTTGATTTTTTCAAATACTATAGATAGATCACAACTAAATATAATTATTTACAAAAATAAGGAATAAAATAATTTAAATAGAAAAAGCCAAAAAGGTATTCTTACACAACCACCTCTACTCCCCAATCCAATCCATCGAAATCCACTCTACAATCCCCGTCCATACCACCACCAACCAACCATCAACATTTCACCCACCCCACAATATGTCACCATTACAACCAATACCTCATTTTTCACGATCCACTAGGTTTGGAATTAATGTATCTTCGGAATGTGGTGCTGCATCTAAGGTGTCCTAATATGTTTTACTTTTCTTTTTCATTTTAATTCCTAATGTCTTATCAAATAAACCTTAATATACATATTAATTTGAATCTTTGTATACCGTGGTTGGTGATGGCTTATGAATTCTAACAAAATTACAATGTTAGTCTATATGATCATGTAGATTTCTTACTTTACCTTAAAAAGGTTTTCTTTCACAAGTATATTTATAATAACATATTTTCCTTAAGTGGAAAGCAAAGTTGCTCTAACCATTCATGTTTTAAACTTTTACTTATTTACTACTACTTGTTGCTTATTATAAAAAATATGGCGATCCATGTGTGATTTTATTTTAAAGATGCCATTACCACGATAATCAAGTTTTATTGGTCCTTCCTTTTGCCAGCTTCATGTTCACGGTGGAAAATGAAAGAAAATATATTCTTTCTCGTGCAAGGTGAACAGTAAAATCGAAAAGAAGAACAGTAAGAGCAACACATAAATTTAAGTGGTTTGACAATTTACCTACTCTCATTGTACGACATACGACTCATTTCAAATAGGGTTACTATAGGTTATTTATATAAAACCCTAATCCGAAAATTATCCTTAAAAGATCAGCCCATCCCTTCCGCTTCATCAACTAGCCCCTATATATATAAAATACGAGCGACATAATCAACATTTTTGCTCTAACTAGTCATGCTTTAAACATTTAGGATCCGTTTGATTGCAAGCAAGAAGATTGCATGGAAAGAAAATATTTTCCAGGGAATTTAATTACTCAGAAATTATTTACATGGAAATTGTTGATTACAGGTATTTGATTGACTTAAATTTTAACCAAGAAAATGTTGCAATTTTTCATCTTTTCGTGTTTGATAACCATTATTTTCCATGAAAATAGTCATTTTTCTAACTTTAGTTGTTTAATAACCACTATATTCCATGGAAATTATAATTTTTTTCCATGAAAATTAGTTAATCAATTTTTAGAAAAGGTACGATTATTTACATCCACAACTTTTTATATATTCATCCCTATAAAAATATTAAAATTTTAAAAAATTATTATTGTCATCCACGTTAGTTTTCAATATTGTCCTTATTGAATTAATTCATTTAAATACTATATATCCACACAAATTTTATACATTCATCCCGCTCTAAATGCATCCCTAAAACAATTTCAAAATCTTAAAGTAATCACTATATTCATTCCCATTATATATAACATCAACATCCTTACAATTCAATAATTAATCCTATAGACAAAATATTATATTCGAAATAAAAATAAATGTTCCATAGGTGTGTTATTTACCACAGGAATTGGTCTCTTATATTTAATTGACAAATATTTATTTTTTTATTCGATAAAAATCAAGTTTTTGAGGTTATGCATAACTTTGAAATAAAATAAAATTTACAGTTTAAAAGAAAGGTAGTCAGGATACTTCATCAATAAATTTATAATATTATGTTGTATCTGAAATTGGTTGTTAAAGATGACCAAGAAAAAACCTTTTTTTACATAAGCAAATAAATTGTTATGCTCAAAGATACAATCAAATAAATTTATAATATTATGCTCAAAGAGAGTTCTGAGAGAGTAACTATGAAGGGCTTATGAGAGAGAGGGAAGAAACCCTTTTATTGTGGGCAAGTGGATGAGAGAGAGACAACGTGAATGTGTAGAAGAGAGAAGATTGAAAGATGAATTCCACCGAAAATAAAATTCACCTTTCCTCAAAGAAAACATTTTCTTTGTTTTCAAGGAAAATGTGGTCACCTGATAAAAAAAATGAAAACATTTTCTTTGGAAAAAATCGTCAATCAAACAAGACAAAAGTAGAAAATTAAGTGGAAAAAATGTATTTTTTATGAACGTGTGCAATCAAACGCACCCTTATTTATTACTAGTTCTTGTCGTGTACTAGAAATTCCACGCAAGTGTTTTTGATGCTTATAAATTTTCTTTCGTAGTAAATTTCACAGCTATCAAAGCTATGGGGTCCATGTGTGGATTTATTTTAAAGATACCATTACCACAATAATCTATAAGATTTTATTGGTCCTTCCTTTCGCCAGCTTTATTTTCTTCGGTGGAAAATATATTCCATGTTGTGCAAAAGTGAACCGTAAAATCGAAAAAGAGAAGAACAATAAGATCGACACACAGGAATTTAAGTGGTTTGACAATTTGTCTACGTCCATTGTATGACACACAATAATTCACTCACTTCAGACAAGATTACTATAGGTTAATTTATATAGATCTTTAATTCCGAAATTATTCCAAAATTATCGGCCCGTCCCTTCACCCCATCAACTAGCTCGTATATACATAAAATACAAGCCACATAATCAACATTGTCGCAAACACTCAGCAAAGCTGTTTTCTTAAAATAAGCAGCAGCTAGATGTTAACTACTTGCTAGAATTTTGATTGTTTTCTGGTCTAGTTGCAAAAAAGGCTCTATATTTTATTTTATGACATTATTCTGCAGATTAATTAAAGTTTAAGCTATCTCTTGCCTTATAATTTTACCTAATTTTTAGGAGTGACGCCTTCACCAACAAAAGCGTAATAGTCCATGTACTAGTGAAGTTACTATTACATTGTTCAGTGAAGTAAAGTTAGGATACATTTTTATTTATTCGACAATGTGACTTTGACCATTGCTAAAGAATAACATATTCAATACGTAGGCGTGGATTCAGTGATTTTTTACCTAACTAAGGTACCTTTCATTATGAAAAATATTTCTTGTACATAATGTTTTACATAACGATGAAGTCAAGATGTAAGTGAAAAAATTATTTGATTGATGTGATTTTGATCCAATTATCTTGCCACATCATCTGTTGATAAATCATTATATAAATTATTATGTACATGTAGCATAACCCATTTATTATATCCCTTGCCCCCACCCCCACCCTCACCCTCACCCTACTCTGTTGAAATTAAAGCAAACGTGTGACAAGGGAATATGAAATATTACGGTAAAAAACATCTTTTATATAGCAACTTCAATGACAGCTAATTTCACGCTCAATTGGCCTCCTTATTGCATCATTATGTCTAAATCTGATTGACACGCTTAAGACCATGAGCCATCCTTGATTTTTTTTCTTTTTCCATTTTCTTGTATTCATTTATGAACTACCTAATATATATTTTAAGGAAGCAAATAGTGATTGTGCAATGTTCAATTAACAATTTAAAAGTAGTTACATTCCGTGCAATATTTGATTCACAATCAAGTTAAGACTGACTTCTAAACTTCGAATCATGAAGATATTAAACCTATTACAATGTTAATCCATATGATCGGCTAGATCTTTTTTTTTTGTGACTTAGGTATCCGAACTTTGCTTGACTAATCTTGAGGAGTGATAACCTTCTCCTTCAATTCGCCACCCAAGTAAATTCGGATGCGATTACAACTTATACACACTTGGGCCAAACATTCGAGAAGTTGTCCTCCTGCCTGTAGACTTACCTTTACGACGTGCAGACAAAATCTTTGGAGGGACGACAAAGTGCACCATAACTTTGTCTCCACATGACATATGCTTTCTAATATAAATGTTGTCTTCTAGCTACATTGAAGATTCGAACCTTAGATAATCCGTAAAGAACCATCATATATTACCACTGTGCCATGCCCGTGGAGCTCGACTAGAACTAGTTTTCCTTATGTTTCTCTCATGTTTAGTAAGGCCTACAAATACTATTCATATATCCATTACTTATTTTTATTTATTTACAAACAAAACCATTTATACATATTTTCCTAATGTGCTTTAGTCTTATGAATTAAGAGATTTATTTTATGCCACGGTCCATGCATGCCATCAGTAAAGTAGGATGTGCAAAATTTTATGATGTAATTCAAATGCTGAAAAGAATGTTCATTGGATCAAACCATATTATATAACATAATTCCAAATGGGATACGGCACCAACCGACACCGACCGACACTTTCCACTCGAAGGTACAGCAAATGAAAATTCATTTGAAACAGCCCATTTTTTCTTCTACGACAGCACTAAATTGGAACGTTCTCAAATGCTTTTTACCCACTAAAGATAATTAGCAAGAGCATGTTGACAATTTCTTGATTTCACTAACTTCAAAATCTGCACCAGATTTTACGTCAATTTTCAAACCTTTAAGCAGACCTCCATTGTTCTCGTTGGCGTTTCCATTGCTGCAATCCAATGCCTTCCTCGAAACCACATTGTAAATTTCCTCGAGCAGTTTAAAGAAAGCAGGTTCTACATTGTCACCATTGAGTGCTGATGTCTCAAAGAAAAAAAGGCCTTGGTTTTCTGCAAACTCCACGGCATCCTCAGTTGGGACAGCCCTCAAATCCACAAGATCTGCTTTGTTCCCAATTAACATGATCACAATGGAATTATCAGCATGTCCCCTCAGTTCCTCAACCCATCTAGCCACATGATCAAAACTCTGTCTTTTGGTCGTGTCATACACTAACATAGCCCCTAGAGCACCTCTGTAATAAGCACTTGTTACTGCCCTGTACCTGAGTTAAAATATCACCCAGAATTATCCTGGAAATCACAACTACTATACAAATCTTAAACTTTTACACGATCGTTTCAGATTCTAATTTTGAGATCCCGATTGCTGCCTACCAAATTTTCTGCAGGAACCCAAAAAGTAAATAGTTTAAGAAAGAAAGAGGGGAAGTCTTTACCTTTCCTGGCCAGCAGTGTCCCAGATCTGGGCTTTAATGACTTTGGATTTAATGGTGACAGTTCTGGTCTGAAATTCAACCCCAATGGTGGATTTTGAGTCAAAACAGAACTCGTTTCTTGCAAACCTGGACAGTAACTGAGTCTTGCCCACGGCTGAGTCGCCAATCACCACCACTTTGAACACATAGTCAATCTTCTCTTGATGATTTTCCAACTCAACTCCATTCATTTCTTGGTTCATTTTCCAAATTTCAAATCAAGAGGAAGTTAAAAAAGAAAAGAAAATGGTGCTCTCTTTTTTCTCTGCTAGTGTTGAATGTTGAACTAGTTGGAGTAAGTAACGTGGTTGGTTAAAGACTGAAAAATATGGCCACCCACACCAGACAAGACCAGCATCAATCACTGTACAAATGCTTACATTTATATTTTGCTCAGAGACATAAATTTTATTTCTTTGTAATGTCAATTTTTGGAGCTTCAAAATGGGTACTATGTACTATGTAGTCTTAATTAAAAATGTGACTAAGCAAAGTTTGAGGGCCAAACAACAGGGTCTCGAAAGCTACAAGCGCCCCACAATACAGGGGTGCCACAAAACTACAACAAGCAGGCCCCCAGCTACAAATGGGCAAAAATTAACAAAAAGCGTTTTAGGTCATAATTTCTGGCGAAATGCCGGGGGAAAACTTGCTTTTGCTTAAAGTAGTCTTGATTATGCCAACGCACCTTTTGAAATATTATTTCGAAATATATGGAGATACTGATTTTTCTTTAGAGAGGGTCTTTGGAATAAACTGTTTGTACAGGGTTATACAGCGCTAACAGCACCTGTTTGACTAAATTTTTATTTTTATTTTGTTGTTTTGCCCTACATTCAATGAGAAATTGTCATGCGGATGTTGAAACTTTAGACTTTGTAAAATTATAAATTTTAGAACTTAAAAATCAAAATTCTTTTTATTGCCAAGACCCTCTATATCAAATCACCAAAAAAATTAATAATGCAAAACATACTTTAATTCTTTGGCAATGATTCTTTATTATTGGATCTTGAATCTTGAAGATATATTGCAATTTTTTCATGTTTGACTTCTTCACTTTTAATCTTGAGTATTGCCTCCTTTCATTCTTTAATTCTTGTTGTTGGTTTTGCTTCTTGATCCATAATCTTGATTCATGACTTTACTTTTCTTGATCATTGATTGTGGGTTTTGGATTTTACTCTTCGATATGTTTTCTCTTTTATTCTCGTGTTAATGGGACGACATAAAGAATGAAAGGTTGTATATGAATTGGAAACCATAATCCTATATATAATTTTTATGTGTATTTCGTCCATCATGAAATATAATTCTAAAGAAATGTGGTCTTTAAACATATAATCCGACCCATACTTTATTTAGATACTTGAAACCCAACAATTAATTCATTATTAGATCAATTTAATTTTGGACTTAACTTTAAGATAACCTTACACACAATTAATTATATGTGTAGGCCCCACATGACAAATTAAAATTTTCCCAACAATTTCCCACTTGGGCTATATATGTTACCTGATAAATGTATATAACCTTATGACGTCAAAACTTTTGCTATCACAACCAAAAGTATCTCCAAACAATCTCGTCTATTGATTATATCAAATAGGATCAAAGTGATCTTCATTAAAAATATCATAAGTAAACTCTCAATAGTCACGTATATCAACACAATCAAGTGACATAGATCAAGTGTAGATATGTAGTATAGAAATTACATGTAATGTGATCCAAACATGCCTATTTGCAATTGGTCTTACCTTATTCTTTAATGAGATCAATCATAAATTTTAATTAGAGTGAAATTGAGCTGAATATTTTATTTTTGAAATAAACCGAATGTCCATTGATAGAATTATGTGTTTAAACCAAAAAAAAAAAATGAGCACTATGTTCATGAAAGACCTTGGGTGATAGACCTTTAATAAGCGGACCGTAATTGTAGAGTTTGTCCTAATTATTCCATAAAAACTTGCACATTTTGAATTATTTCCTTAAACTTTGACGTCTTCAAGCTCCTGTTAGAATACAAAACTGTTATTGTCACAGAATAAGTAAAGTGGTATTTCAAATTCAACCAAAATGTGCGGTTTGGTGATAAAATTCCGCGATCGTATTCCATTATTAAAATCAGAATATCCAGTGATCTCCAATTGGTTTGATTTTTCTGAATGTGATCATGTGATCCTTAGTTCTCTGTAAATACCGAATATCCTAATTGTCTGCTTTCCAAATATCGATCCCACGGTTATTTAAATATCTGCCTTGCATTCTAACAATGAATACTATATCTAGATGTGTGTAAACCTAAGCATACATTAAACTCCCAACTGCTAAGTAAAGGAAATTTTCAGTATTTTTTATTTTTTTTGAAGTTTATCCTTAGGACATTGATTGAGACTAAACTTATCTCTCTCAATGATAGGGGTATCACTTGATTTACATACCTGTATCTCAAATCTCTTTTTAAAAACTTCATAGATATAGCTATTTTGTGATAATCAAAAAATACCCCGAGAACGATCCCAGTGTATTTATATCCCTGACATGAAAGATGCGTTATCAAGATCTTTCATTTCAAAATTTCATGACAGAAATCACTTGATTTCGTGCAATAAGACTATATCATTGTAGGCAAATAATATATCATCGACATATAATACTTGAAAAATATGATTACTCCCACTGAACTTGTGGTATATACAAACATCAATTGCATTTATCTTAAAATCAAAGGAGATAATTATTTGATGAAAGTTGTGATTTCATTGACGAAAAATATACTTAAGCCCGTAGATGGATTTCTTTAATTTGTAAACCATCATATGTAACTCAAGATCAAAATGTGTCATAAGTGTTATAATAATCCTAAAAGATTCTTTTGTAGAAATCGGAGAGAAAGTCTTTTTAAAATCAATGCATTTCTTTTGAGTAAAGCCATTTGCAACAAGATGAGCCATATATATCTCTTTATCACCCTTTGCATCTCTCTTGGTTTTAAATATACAGTTACAATCAATGGAATTCGTACCTTCAGGCAATGGAATGAATTTCCAAACGTCATTGTTACTCACGGACTTATCTCTTTATTTATGGCATCAATCTACTTTTGAGAATTATTCCTTTCATTGTATGATGAAAGTTGATTGACCAGATCTTCTTCCACAATACAATACCATCCTTATTTTATTGGAGAAAAGCTATATAGTTATCTGAATTGCCTTTCTCTTTTCTTTAGCAAATTTCCTTAATGACATTTATTCTTGAGGTTCTTCTAAAACAATCTTTTGATTGTGTATGGGAGAATTTGTAATATTATCTTGATCCAAAATTGCTTTTTGAACAACATTTGGAGCAATAATTTGTCTCTGATCATGATCATTATCAATTGCAACAAAAGATACATATATATATTCTTCTTCAAAGACAAAATCTTTAACTTTAAAACCTTATTTCCCCCACAAACTTTCCATCCTCAAGGAATCGGATATTTCCCGTTTCGAAAATTGACCTAATAATAATATCTTTAAAATTTGTAATCTCTTAATATTTGCTCTACTTGGAACTTTATAGAGAATTTAAACTACAGTTTTTAGTAGTTCAACCTAGAGAGATTCTAATGTAGTATGGGACAATTCCAGATTCCTCTAGAAATTTTAGCAAAAGGCTCCGGACAGTATTCTCCTGATCCATTATATATGTCACAGTAATCACTACTATGGTAAGATTTGACTTATTTAATTCTTTTATTGAGTTCATTTTCATCCTCAGCTTCGTATACTTTGAATATGTCCGGTGTTTGAGATTTCTAATAGATGAGATATAGGTAGCGATAGTGATGACCATTTCAAGATGCCAAAGAAAATGGCCCACAGATATCCGTATAAATTAGTTTTAAGATGTCCAAAGTCTTATTGGCACACAGTCTCCTTAGATTTGTATGTTTTCCTTTAATATGATTAACACAAACACTTAAATCTGAAAATTAAAGGGATCGAGAATATCTTCTAACATGGGATTTTATATTCATTTTTGGGAGATGTGACCTAATCGCTTATGTCATAATTAAGTGAAATTCTCATTGGTTAATTTATATTTAATACTGCGTGAATTCACATGTAAGGCGTTTTTTTAAAAAAGCAACTGTATCAAGCAGATATAGATTATCATAACCAGATAAATAACTAATATCCACAATATTTGAATTAAGAAAAAGACTGAATTGACTATTTCCAATTGAACAAAAGTAAGGATCTGTTTGATTGCAAAGATGGAATTGAATTGAATTGAAAACGAATTCCAGGGAATTGAATTGTCTAGAAATTATTTTCTTGGAAATTGTAAATTATTATGTTTGATTGGTATAATTTTTCAAGTGGAAAATGTTGAAATAAAAGTATTTTTTGGTGTTCGTTTGATTTTGTTTTACATGAAAATTATCAATTAAAGGGATATATTTTACTGGTATTGAGGATAAAATTTGTTTCTATTGCCAACCCAAAAATAAAAAATAAAAAATCAAGAAAATCATATATCTTTTGATGTTCGTTTGGCTTTGTTTTACATGAAAATTGCCAATTAAAGGAAAATATTTTTTTACAATTATTCTTAAAATTTGTTTCCACTGCAAAAAAATAAAATAAAATAAACAATTGCTACAGTAATGCAGGAAAATGAATTCTCACCATTTTGGTGAAAATTCAATCAAACACCAAAAAATTGAAAAGATAGAATTGCAATTCCATTTTCCATGGAATTTCCTACCTATCAAATACACCATAACTGAATTTGTTCAACGTGAAAATAGATACCAAATTTGATCCAAAATGATGGTACTGCAAATATCTATTTCAAATCCAAATAATAACTAGTTTTTAATAATAACCTAAGAGTTCTCATAGCCTCAACTTTAACTGATTTATCATTTTCCCACACAGATGTATCTTTCAGCATCAATTGGCTTCAAACTGTTTAGGTAACCCCGCATAGACACGTTTATTTGAATAGTGAAATTGAAATTTATCCACAAAGTTTGTCTAGATACTGAACTAAATTAGTCTCGGGACAGAACAAATGAGAAGTATACTTGACCTTACATGCCAAGCTGATATTTAGTACAGTCCTCTTCATGTGTCCTAGATTTGTCACAAAAGTAACAGCTAGATGGTTTATCATTTTAGGTGTTTTCTATTCTTTTGAACCGAATCGGATGCAACTTTTTTATTCTTTATTTGTCCTTAGAGATACTTGTCAAGTGAGTATTTCTAGTTCTCTCTTGCTTTAGACTTTCTTCTTCTTGTACAAAACATGAAAATGAACTCATTAGGAGTCCACTTTCTCTTTTGACAACTGTAACTAACCTTAAATTAACTAAATTATGTTGGAAGAAAAATCAAAACCATATGCACGAGCAAGTTACGAAACATCTCAGA